ACTCTAAATGTTCACCTCTGCCAGGTAGACACGCTAAAGCTTTGTCAGTAGAGGGTGCTAGAGGACTTCCTTGCAGCTGGGTGGTTTTTTTCTAGCTTTGGGGTCTACCTGCATCTCGAGGCAAGGGTTGAGGGAGGGATGGCTCTCCTGTTTGCCAGAACTCATAAGCAGATCCATTCCTACCAATCCTGATCAGATTACTATGGACCAGCTATGGGCAAGGGAACCCCATAGACTACTCTGCTATCTGCTGAGCTTAAATGAATGCTGGCCATAGAACAGCGAATCTTCCTTTTCAGTTTGCACGATTCTTGAGAACACCCCCTCAGCTGAGGGATATTCTTTATTTTTTTTTTGGGGGGGGGATATTCTTTATCATTCTTAGTACCTAACCCCTTCAACAGTTAATAATTTTTTATAATAAATTATCCCAGTAGAGATGTTGGCTATATTGTTACTTTTTTCCTTGTTTAAAAAAAACTATTCATAAAACAGGCAAACAAAGTTGATGAATTATCATCTTTCTTTTTAGAGGATGCAAGATGCATGTATACAGGGTTAGCTAAATAGCTCAGCAGTTTAAAGCACCTGCAAGTAGGCACAGGGGCCAGGGTTCAATCCCTGGGCCTACTGTGCCGGCCCCACCCCGGGGCGTGCTGAGGCGGCAGTTGAGACTGGGTATGGTGGCACATGCCTGTAATCCCAGCTCTTGGGAGGCTGTGAACAGGCACATCACAAGTCCAATCTAGCAGTGAGACCCTGAACACCCTGTAGACCCTTCCCTAAGAAAAAAAATGTGTACATACTTGATTACTGATATTTAAATTGTAGTGATATTTGTGATATGTATACTTATAGCAGGCAACCACTAATTAAATGCCTCCTAGAAATCAAGTGAACAGTCCATAACTTCAGATCATAAAAGTCTGGAAAAAGGGGATAACTTTTAAAGTTAGAAGCAGGTTTTATGTATTCATTCAGAAGGTTAGTCAACTGTAGAAGTCTTTTAACATTATGAAATCCTGTATGATTTTTTTCCTCAGCATTTTTTTTAACTTTTATAATCTGAAGAGATTCTTTCATCTGAAGTTTTTCATGCATGCAGATACTTTGCATGATGTCTGATGTGATCAGCCATAAGGTGGCAATGAAGCAGTAACTAAAGCTCATATCCTTTTTGTGATTTTCTCTTTTGTACAGGCAATAATGAAGTTATCTGGGAGTCACTGTCCATCTGAAAGGAAATGGTCATTTTTTCCTTGGTCAATCAGTATATCCAGCTGAGGATTTGGATAAGACTTTACAAGGTGGGTCGCACTATAAGTCTTCCATTTATTTTGATCTGTTCCCAAATATCCAGTAAAGGCTTTTTTGCCCCAAGGACAGAGCACTGGGTTACAAACGGGAGCAGATGCTGACAAAAGTTTGTATTTTCCAGGGTTTTTCAAAGCACAAGTCAAGGGCTCCATGGCATCCCATGGAGTGGCCAAAAGACATCCTTTGAGGGGGTCCCCTGGAAAATTGGCATTTATGAGTTGGGGAAGCTCTTCTGTTACATAAGAGTATATTCTGTAATTAGTTTTCTAAGGACCTTCAGTAGCATTCACACCAAACCCTGCTCCAGTGCCAAGGTTCTCGTTATCATCCTCTTAATACTGCATTCACAAGGGCTGGCCTCTGGAGCGATGACAACAAGGCCACGTTCTAAGGTAACTTGATGACAACAAGATTTTGATATAAAATTTGATTCTACACAAGTTAAACCAGAGGACCAATACAGGGCAGGGCACCTCCTGGTTCTGCCTTTGGTGGTTAAGTATATAGTAAATTTCATTTTACATTTTAGTTCCACACTCTCACATTCAAAAACTTTCTGCCCAAAGCACTTGTTGCTGGAAATCTGCTTTAATGCCATTCTTCTCCTGTCTTGTTTGTATGTGCTTATTTGTACAAAACATCAAATGACTCTTGGGGTGTTTTGGAGGCTGTGACAGTACAGGGATGTTCAGGGGAAGGTTAAGGGCTCTACTATGACTTCTTTTCTACTAAGTACTGCTGATATTGTATTGGCATCATAACATTCAAATCCCTCCATTATTATGTTGCAATAGTCATATTACAGGAAGTAAAAAATTAAGTAATGCTTATGCATCAAGCATTTTTCTAATTAACTTGTATTAACTCATTAACCCTAACAATCATATTTCAATAACCTATAGCAAGTATCTTTCATGCAAAAAATACAAATTCTATAGCTGGAATTATTCTTCGATATAAAAATTAAGCAAACTTGTATAATCATGTTTGCTGTGAAAGTTCCTGACAGTTACATTAATGCAAACTATGACTGTGCCTTTTCAAAATTTACATTCCTATTATTTTAAAAGTTCAATTTCATTTTTTTTTTTTTTTTTTTTTTTTTGCGGAACCAGGGATTGAACTCAGGCCCTTGCACTTGCCAGGGAAGCGCTTATTCCACTGAGCCATCTCCCCGGCCCCTTCATTTTCTTTATCACAAAAAAATGATGAATTATTGTTGCTCCTTAATAGCTACAAAATGTCTTTTTTTTTTTTGGTATTTAGTACAGGGTCTCATTATGTAGTTCAGACTCGCAGTGAACCTCCTGTTTCAGCTTCCCAAGTGCTGTGATTACAGGCACGTGCCACCATACCCAGTCTCAACTGCTGTCTCAGTACACCCCAGGGCTGGGGCTGGCACAACAGGCTGAGATTTGCTGGGGATTGAGGCCCAGCCACTGCACTCTGCCTAAGAAGGCACTTTAGTCTGCTGAGCTATCTGGTCAGTCCTGTTTTTGTTTTTTGAGACAGGGTCTCACTATGTAGTTCAGGCTGGCCTTCAGCTTACTATGCAGTCCATGCTGGCCTCCAACCTGCTGTGATCCTCCTACCTCAGCCTCTCAAGTGCTAATAGGCACACAGTGTCACACCTGGCTTAGAAAAAAGTTTTTACAACAAATTCTTGACCATTTACAAGAACAGAAAAAAATACAGTTAAAAAAATTAATCCTGTTTCCTGTTTCTGGCTGTGTGGAGGCAGCTCATGCATGTGGGAGACCTCAAAGTTAGGACTTTTCTTTGCACACCTCAGGCTGCCTGCTGCGGCTCTGCAGCTGTCATTATGCCACAGAATGAATATAGTGAATTACACCAGAAACACTATGGGTACCCCATGGATTACCATCAGAAAAAAAGGAAAGGTGAGAGGCTCATGAAAGTTTGAAGAAGGCAAAAAAAAAAGATTGGTCTGAAGGTTAAGCTCTACCACATACAGCGTCACACGGAGAAAATACAAATGAAGAAGACTATCAAGATGCATAAAAAGAGAAACACCAAACAAAAGAATGACGAAAACACTCCATAAGGAGCAGTCCTGCCTACCTTCTGGACAGAGAGGGACAGTCTCATGCAAAAGTACTTTCCAATATGACAAAATAAAAATGAAAAGAAAAGGCAGGAAAATGTGAAGTTCCTCTGCCCAAAGTTTGTGCCCAAGGAGAAACATAAGGATTAAAAGTTAGCTGAACTGGACAGAGAAAAAAGGAGGCAAGAAAGAGGATGCTTTGTTGATGGTTTTACAAGAAAACCATCTAAATATGAAAGATTCATTAGGCCAATGGGCTTACGTTTTAAGAAGTCCCATGTAACACATCCTGAACCAAAGGCCACCTTTTGCCTGCCAATATTTGGTGTGAAAAATTCTTCATTGCCACTGTATACAACTTTGGGTGTTATTACCAAAGGAACAGTGAACGTGAGTTGGGCCTTGTGACACAAGGAGGCAAGGTTATCTGCGGTAAATATGCCCAGGTAACCAACAATCCTGAAAATGATGGATGCATCAATGCAGTCTTACTAGTTTGACAGATGTAACTTCTTATAATTATTGAAAACTACAGACCAAGCAGGAAAACCATAACTTAAAACTGTTGAACAACTCTCATGACTACATTCATCAAGAAAACTATTTATTAAATTGTGAAAACATTAAAATGGCCCAGTTTTACAAATTGGTCTTTTATTAGGGGCCTGTTAAAGTCTTATATGTTAGTGAGATTGAACCATTTGAAAAAGTAAACCTAAGTCTTTGCATTGAAGAGTGGGCACTCAGCAACACAGATCTCTCATTCTTAAAAAGCCACCAGTATTTAAAGTCAGTGTAAACTTAATTTACAGGTCCAGGACTAGGAAATCTGCTGTAGTCTATTCTACCTCATCGTTTATCATTAGTCCTACAAAAAAAGAGTAATGTTTAAGTAGATATAATCTATTTATAATACTTTAAGAATGGCATCGGAAGTTTATTCAGATAATTCCAATTAGTTGCACTGATGCCCTTAAGAGAAACTTCATTTGCTGTTAAATGATATAAGAAGGTTATATGTTAGGTGTACATCTTAAGTTTTGTGATCTAAATTAAACGGTCACGGCTTGGAAAAAAAAATCCAATCCTAAAATATAACTGCTGATAAGATCAACTAAGTTTACTGTCTGTGTCAAGTTCACTAATGAGTCCTACACTACAGAAAAAACAGCCAAAAGACTTAAATAACCAAGAACCAATATATATTTTATTTATAAAAAGTCAACTATTATTTTATAAGCAAACCAACTAAAGTACACAAAAATTAACTTTTCTAAGAAGTAAAAAAGTAGAAATATGAAGCCATACTGTCTGGTTCTACAGTGTGACCTCATATAGATGTCTACTGAGAGCTGTGAGTAACAGAGCTTCCTAAGATTTTATTCTTACTTTACTACAAAATTAAAACATCCAAAATCAAATGGCTAAGTGATTAAATATGAAATATGAGTTGATTCTTGTTAAATATTTTTTATGAAGCAAGGACATTTAAAGCACATATCAGCTACAGAGAGAAAATACACATTTTACATTGTTTAATATGAGACAAAATTAATAATTATAATGTTAACTTTGCTTGCCGTACGCCCTACGAAGTTAACATACACCCTACACCTACCTGCAAGGAGGTAAGACCATGGAGTCTTTCACAAGTACAGATCCAGAAAGCAGGATATACCAACATCTGGCAATAGTTTCTGAACTGTTTAAATAAATAAATAAATAAATAAATAAATAAACAAACGCACATTTTTACATGTATGTAGATATTCTGAAAATACTCAGTCACTAAAAACTAAGAAACAATGCTTGGAAATTTGGAAAATTCTGTACGTTGCCTAAAGTTTTACACAGACCAAGTTGCCATGGGGGCTGGGGGTGGCTGTCACAGATAAACACTAACAGGTAAACAGAACATAGGCAAGGGGGAGCTACATCACAGTACACAAAAAATACAATAAGAACATTTAAAATACTTAAAATTGTCACACTTTAGTCCATATTATAGAGCTGTGATAAAAATCAGGCATATTCACTATTTAGTGATAATCAAAATCAAAATCAAAATTGACATCCTTTTTCTCCAGTTGATATTACAGAGTAAAAGCCATAAAGATCCCTTAACCCCGTAATTTTATCTCAAGGAGTTTCTCATACAGAAATCATTAGTATCTCTGCACAAGAGACTTTTAGATGAGTTTATTTTTTACCTGTTTTCTAATTTTCCTATTATAATTACAGTAACAAAAATTATTTTTAAAATCCAACATAAGAATATGTATATAAGTTAATCAAAACATTAACCTAATCATCTAGTACTAAAAACAACCTAAACATACAGTACTATTAGAGTGATTTAATAGATAGAGTATAATCAATATCATGGGCTACTATACAATCTCTACAAAATACAACTGCATAAAAGCAGACACATATGAAGTGCATACAAAGCAGCAAACAGCACACATACCATGAAGACAATACAAATGCACACAAAAGGCATGACACAGAGCAAAACCCAGCATAACAGGACTGGGACTAGGAGTGAACTATTATTGTTGCTAAATCATGCCTAGATGAAAAACCAGTGCTTCAAAGTGGGTACAACGGGGACCGGGGAGATGGCTCAGTAGAATAAGCGCTTGCCTGGCAAGTGCAAGGGCCTGAGTGCAATCCCCGGTTCCGAGAAAGAAAGAAAGAAAGAAAGAAAGAAAGAAAGAAAGAAAGAAAGAAAGAAAGACAGACAGACAGACAGACAGACAGACAGACAGGACAGGACAGGACAGGACAGGACAGAACAGACAGACAGACAGACAGACAGACAGACAGACAGACAGACAGACAGGACAGGACAGGACAGGACAGGACAGGACAGGACAGGACAGGACAGGACAGGACAAGACAAGACGGTACAACAAATAGTTCTCAAGAATTCAGAGAAAAAAGGGGAAGGACAAGTTATCAATATTTAGGGTACATTTGATAATTGGTGCTACTGTGGTACAATCTACTTTTGAAATATTTCACTTTAGGTTAGAAAATACACTCTCAATCCCTGGTTCTGCAACAAAAACAGAAACAGAAACAAAAACAAAAACAAAAACAAAGAAAATACATTCTCTCAAACATGTCACTTACCAGAAGAACCAGGAAAGACGTAAGATGCTTAAAAGATGCTTACTTATGGGAACCAGAGTATTACAGATAAGGCTTTGATGAATATTTACATATAATTTAAAATTCACAAGCTAAAAGAATCTCTAGTAGCCTCATTTAATTAATTCAAATTTAAAATCACTTTAAAGTTCTCTATAAGTATTTTTCCCCAAATCATAAAACCAGTAAGCAAAACTTTTGTCTAAGACTGTATAATCTTTTATCTAAAACTCTAGTTTTTCAGACTTCCCTTTTAGTACTCACTTGCTAGAAGTTAACACTAAAATGTGACATTGAACACTGAAATCCTAAATTTTACCTTTATTCAAGTTTATCCTCATTAAGCCTTTTAAGCCTTACTCAGGCACAGTGATGAAAATACAGGAAAACTATACATTTTCACTAAGAAATCATTTCTCAAAATTCCCTTCGTTGTAATTTTATAAAACCAATGAAAGGAAACTTAGTGACACAGTAATCTTCCTGTGAAAATCATACTCATTTCTAAGACAAAGAACACCAGCCACTCAGAAGAAACATACTCTTGAAATGTCTTTTATCCCCAGGTTTCATTGGACACTGTAGAACCCCAGGAGTCTCAGGTCATCTCCAAGTTTCAAATGTGCACTTGGCTCTAGATACACCCTTTCTCACTACTCTCCCTCCTAACCTCCTCTTGTCTTTACACTCACCCACCAACTCTGGGACTCACAGTGTGACATAGGGAAAATACCTCACCTGTCAGTGTGTTTTCCCAGTATTTTCTGAGGACGCTGCTTCTCCCACCACTCTGAAGTGGTAGATATTTTCCCTTATATATTCCTCCTATCAATGGAGCTAGATATAAATCAATATCCTCTTCTTGTGCCTAATTCTAAACCACTTTTTTCCTCTTTTCACTAAAAATTACAATTTTGAATCTTACATCAGATCCCCAGTGTCTTCTGACACAACCAATCACAGACAGCAGGGTCAATCCTCATTTCTTACAGATTTTTAATTCTTGGCTTATAAATACCCTAATATTATTTTCAACAGATTTTGTACTGATTTTAATGTTCTGACATGACAAATTTTTGTTTCTCGATCTCTTCTTTAAATATCTTACCCTCTATTTCAATTCAGACATGCACTTTCACAGTCAACCACCAAAACTACTTCATTGTAGTAACTATAACGCCTTTATAACCTGAAGCCCAAGCATCATCCTTCTTTCTCACTCATTCTATTATCCAGACTTTCATAATCTATTTGTCTTCAAATGATATACCGTATTTTTTCCTGTCTCTCTTTTCTGAACCCAAACTCCATATTAAGTTACCATTATCATTCCTTTACAAGCACTCCCTCAACTGTTCTTATTCTCATGTTATTGTATTTAGTAGGCCAAATAAATCCAACTTGCTGCCTATTCCACTGCTATCCTGGGAGCAGAATGCAGCCAATGAAAAAACAACCCCAGCCCACTTCAGGTGGGCTTTTAGAGCTGCCTAGCAACCATAATTACCTCTGAGTTCATTCAGTCCACCCTTCAACTACCAAATACCTCTTTCCTGGCTGGGGAGATGGCTCAGTGGAATAAGTGCTTCCCTGGCAAATGCAAGGGCCTGAGTTCAATCCTCGGTTCCAGAAATACACAAATAAACAAATACCTGTTTCCTTATCCAAACTCTTAATTCATTATCCTTATCCCTTACCCACTGAAAAAATACAAGCTATCAGAAGAAAACTTCCCCTAACAGCTACCACATAAATCACATAGCATTCTCAAATGCATCAAGACATCTATGTAAACTGTTGTCTGCCAAAATAAAGCTAAACCAAACATACCTAAGTACTTCCTATGGGAAAACATTTATATTTCAACTTTTCATATGGTGGCAATTAATAAAAATTATTAAGACTGACAAGAATGGGCCAAATCTAAAACAAGTGGGAAAAATATTACTTTTAATATGTACAAGATAGAGAGCTTGACCTAAACACCAAGATCCAGTAAAAAAAAAAAAAAGTGGAACTCTAGAACTGGAAAGTAGAATTAAAAATTAAGAAGTCAAATGTTGGCTTAAGGGGGCCTGGCCTTAGCTCAGTTCTTTAAGTGGCTGCTTCGGCAAAGCTGTCAGCCTCAGGTTGCTGTAGTTCGATCCCCACAACCCTCCAGCCTGCCAAACCACCCCTGAGGGCATTCGGAGCAAAAAAAAAAAAAATCCTTATTCCAAATGTTGGATGGGCTACTATACAATCTCTACAAAATACAACTGCATAAAAGCAGACACATATGAAGTGCATACAAAGCAGCAAACAGCACACATACCATGAAGACAATACAAATGCACACAAAAGGCATGACACAGAGCAAAACCCAGCATAACAGGACTGGGACTAGGAGTGAACTATTATTGTTGCTAAATCATGCCTAGATGAAAAACCAGTGCTTCAAAGTGGGTACAACGGGGACCGGGGAGATGGCTCAGTAGAATAAGCGCTTGCCTGGCAAGTGCAAGGGCCTGAGTGCAATCCCCGGTTCCGAGAAAGAAAGAAAGAAAGAAAGAAAGAAAGAAAGAAAGAAAGAAAGAAAGAAAGACAGACAGACAGACAGACAGACAGACAGACAGGACAGGACAGGACAGGACAGGACAGAACAGACAGACAGACAGACAGACAGACAGACAGACAGACAGACAGACAGGACAGGACAGGACAGGACAGGACAGGACAGGACAGGACAGGACAGGACAGGACAAGACAAGACGGTACAACAAATAGTTCTCAAGAATTC